CTCGACCAGAAAATCGAATCGAAGAAGATGACGAACGACTGGTCTAGAAGTACAACGATTCTTGTATGGAAGAAGAAAGAAGACGTAGGTTTGCAATGCTGCAAATCAGATGGTGTAGTCACGCTTCATTTTGGGAAAGGATAAAAATCCAAAGATCTCTTGTTGGCGCAGCAATCAATACAAGCACAATTACTGGAGAAAATGATTGGTAGAATGCGAGCCATAGCCTGCAAGCATATCTATCAGGTTGGCACACAAGTAATGCAACTTTCTATATAATTTTGTATTCTTAAACGTAGCGCATTCTTTTTTTTAGCAATATTAGGATTATGATGTAAACTTCAAATGCTGACATTTTTGCCGAATTTTGCCGTATTATTTGAGAGTTACGATAGGTTTACGGTATAACGGGAAAAATTTTTTATTTCGTCAGACTTTGGCCTGTGGGGATTATTCGAAATGCTGATCACATTGAGACCCGTTTCGCATGAAAAGCCTTTTTCTTGAAGTCAAATAATGATTTTTATCTCAGCGACAAATGAACACGATATTAGTACTCACCGCATTGAATTACCCTATATTGTGATGCTTTAGCGATTTCTGAGGTTTCCAGTTTAGTTACTGAGAGATTGCCCTCCACGCTTGATGCATTTGACTTGTTCTACTTCTTGAAGACGCCTTATCTTATTTTGTCCCTGAATTTCACTTCTTTATACTGATTCTAAGGTGTCAACTTCTAGCTACATGCTACCTATATGTAATATGTACCTATATGTAAATCCTCTAACATGTTTGATTCAGGTTCGTACGGCTTCATGTTTACCAAATAACCGTGAAACCTCGATTTTTACAATTTTTCGAAAAATGCTTGAATTATCTCTTACATTTTGCAAAAATCAAACGGTTTGCACGGGCTTGTAGCTTACGTCACAATATATTAGGGTGATTTAAAAGTAATGGGGCACCTTGATTTTTCGAACATTCTTCAAGATCGCTTTCTGATTAGCCATGAACAACCAGCAATTTGAGCGCTTTTGCATAAAGTGACCTCCGCAGGTTATCTTGACAGCACCTTGCAGCACCTCACCAACATTCCTTCGAGCGGCGCTTTAAAGATGTCAGACAGACTTTTTTGAACGCCATCCGAAATCGTGCTGCCGCACCTGAAAGTCCCTTGACATATGGCATACCATTCGAAAGAGCTTTCCAAAATCTTTCTAAGGATTACTTTAATATTCAAAAATTGTCCATTATTTCATACAGAAAAGGCATTTTATTCGAAAAAGTGCGGTATTTGGCGCAGAATTTCAGACCAAAATTCATGTTTTGGCCCACAATTTTTTGAAAATGAGAAAAGTCGAAGTAATTTGCAGATGCATGGATAGAGCGTAAAAAGCACTATCAGAAAGCAGCTGTTAAGGTTGAGCTTATTCAATTACCTTGATGAAAGAATAAGCAATATGTCTCCTGATACTCAATGCTATAACTTCTGTTCTAAAGCCTTGGGACGTCCGAGCTATCGTGGATTCGGTAACAGTCCCTTCACCCATTGCTGCGCAGATATCTTTGGTATCCTCACTTGTTCTACTGCGGCGCTGCTGCTCAAAGTTCAAAATTATTTGGAGTGGTGAGCTTTGATTTTGAGCGCTTATAAATATAACGCCATGCGACAGTGCCCAACTATGGACCTCGATCAGAAGATTTGGTATGTACTAGCATCTGCCAAAACTTGGGCTTCCAATTAGCGTTTCTATTTGAGAAAACTGAAATTATTCTCTAGGTGCCCCATTACTTTTGAATCACCCTAATACATGATGCCAGCGAGAGAATGTTACACTGACTAAGAAAAAAGTCATGTGAAAATTTGCAAAACTTATGTGCCAACCTAATCAGTTAGAGCTAAATGACAACACAATGGTGGCCCAGGAATGGTCGGCCGCCTCAACGTAGCATGGGGGTGACATTGGGTGTCGAACTGCGATGCACAACCAGCCGAGTATACACTCTGGCAGGGCCTTCCAAGCTGTAGAGGAATCCGACGTTTCCGTTTTCGGCCGGATGCCCAACTAAGAGCCGGCCAGGCCAGATCCACCGCCGTCCGGTTTTCTGGCCGCTAGGCGGTTCTCCTCGCTCTGAACCCGGGGTCAGCGATTGCCCCGTGGAAATCGAGAGTCCAGTAAGTCTGCTCTTGTAGGGGAACAAATTTTATTACTCCGTTAGCAAGAAGATATGAAAAAACCCTGTACATCGGATCCCGCCTACGGCGCCGGGTGGTAGCAAAAACATGCTGTCAGGGTCCTTAGGGCGCCTTTTGGATCGGACAAAAACGACACGTTCGCCCGGACGACACGCCATGGAGACTGCCTCTTGCTCTGCACCTACAACAGGACTCCACAAACGCCTACTTTCACGATCCTCTCGACGCTGCAGAGCGCATAAAGCACCACGTTATCGCTCTGCATGAAACAAAGTTCAGAAAGAAGGACGTGCGACAGATAAATGATGGGACCCTCTTTATCCTCGGTGAAAAGGTTCCATCACGAAACGTGGGAGGCGTCGGCTTTGTCGTCCACTCATCTATCGTCCATCTTGTCGATTCGCAGGAGATCCTATCACCTCGACTAGCCATTTACGACTGCGACCTCCGCATCAGAGGACCATCAGCATCATCAATTGCTATTCTCCAACATCAGCAGTTGACGCATCAGAACTAGATGCTTTCTACGAATATGTGGAGGAGGTCGTCCGCAACGAGAAGTCCTTCTACAAGTTTGTTGTGGGCGACTTCAATGCGAAAATCGGGATGCCACTGAAAAAGGAATATAGGATCGGGAAATTTGGATATGGGCTCCGGAGAAAACGGTAACCATCTTGTTGGTCTTCTCTCCGCCGCACAACTTTCCCATGGAAATTCCATCTTCCTAAAGAAAGACGCCGGTGGACATGGAATCGCCCAACAGAACGACTCACGCGGAGATCAACTACATTCTTACCAACCGAAGGTGGAGCCTGCTCGATGTCTCAGTAGTTCCATCCTTCTGCAGTGGCTCCGTCACCGCCTCCTTCGAGCAAAGGTACGATTCAGTCGAAAGCTGGAAAAGAAGGTCTGCCACAGTGCCGCAAGAAGGAAATGTCGTTTATGACGGCTTTTCACCATATTCATTGCAAAAGCTAGGCAAAGCCTAGGACCTTCATTCGAGTCAAACAAATGCTTGAGAATTCGGTGGGCGGGTAAGGCAGTTTTTCCTTTTTATACCCTAAAATCCCGCCAATAAGTCCGGACTTATGTGCAGTTTTGGCAGGGAAAATCGGTGGAAAAACGCCCTCTGCGCCGCCAAAAGGTCTACCAGATAAGTCCGCCTAAATCCTATCACAGATAAGTCCGCCTGTCCTGAGCATGAGCAAGCGCGACCTAGGAGCATAGACGCGCGCGACCGCCCGCGTAGCTTGCCGGTGTAGATTTAAACAAGGCCGCGAAATCGCCTGAAAGGAAGAGCCAAAGTATTCGACAAGCCGTGCAGACTAGTTGCTGACAGTATCGTCGAGGATTCGTCATCACATACGCTGGATAGGTGAGTTCTTTTTTTAGATATAACATTTCTTGTGTGTTGGAAATGACGACGCCAACACGTGCATCGTTACAAAGTCTTTTTAGAACGTTGATCGGTGCGCATATCCTATTCCACAACAGTAATTGACAAATTACAAGGATACAAACGGTTAATAATTTTGCAAAAGACTACAGAGAAGTTGTTCTGGATATCACATGTTTCAGCGATTGGAATCAAGCCGTGAACTCTCCTAAAAGAGACCGCCAAAGGATTCGACAAGTCGTGCAGCCTACTTGCTGACAGTTTCGTCGCGGATTGGTCATCACATACGCTGGTGGGTTCTTTTCCTATATAAGACAGTGCTCGTACACATGAATATTTCTGCCGGTAAAATCATAATAGGTTTTCTCATTGTATCATTGCAATCATCTCATCTTATCATTCATCTTATCGTTTTGGAGGCGGCAATGTTTTCATTGCGACAATGTTTTCAATGCGACAATGTTTTTCGCCATCTCTCGAACCTGTACAAGCTACAACTTTGAACCTGGCTGCCTATACCTTTTGCTTCCTCCATTGTTTACATGTTCTGAACCTAGTCTCTGTTGACCCACGCTATACGGCTTAAGAGTGACAGTCTGAGAATGCTCAACCTTAGCAAAGCATTAGGCTTCCTTGTTCTTTTCCTCAATTGTTGTTTCATTAAGCCTGTACATCCAAGACAAAAGATAGTGTAGTCAAATTTGATGCCGCGTGCTTTTTCTTGTAAAAGAGTAAACCTTTCGATGATCAGCGCAAATTTATAGGACTTCGCGTGATTCCAGTGTGCAATGACCGCTAACTCAGCGAAGTTCGCAATCACGCAGAGCCCTATATTTCCAACATACTCTCACACGCTGTGACTCAAGCTGTTCAGGTATCTCGGATCTCAATGGCTCCCAGAAGCAAGTCCTACACCGCGCTTTTTGAGCTAAACGTGGTGGAATATGCCCTGCAACATGGAACATCGGCTGCCGCTGTTCACTACGAAGTCCCTGATTGTCTGATTTGAAGATGGAAGGCCGATAAAGAAAATTTGGAGGATAGGCCACTGAGGCAACGTGCCAACCGCTATGGGAAGCCAAATGTGGAGGAAATCGAAAAAGCTTTCTATGCATGGATTGTGCAGACGCGAGAAAGAAGCCGAGCACTGCTTCTCAAGGACATTCGCGAGAAGGCATTGCAGCTAGCGCGAGAATCTGGCCGCCAGGACTTCAAGGCATCGGCGATGTGGTGCAAACGCTTCATGAAGAGAAAAAACTTATCTCTGAGGCGAAGAACCTGTGTCGGTCAAGCACTTCCGGAGGATTATGAGGACATTTGCGCGGACTTCAGGAGATTCGTACAAAGGGAATCGCTTTACATCTCCCCCCACTTGGGAATGTCGATGAAGTCCCAGTGCCCTTCGATATGGTTTATTCAAGGACCGTGGATCAAGTGGGAGCAGACGCTGTAAGGATTAACTCAACAGGACATGAAAAGTCGAATTTTACCGTTGTCCTCTCTGCGACGGTCGCTGGAGAGAAATTAAGACAGATGGTAATATTTAAGAAAAAGAGGATTCCGAAGGATAATTTCCCTACTGAAGTGATTGTGCGTGCCAACGAAAAAGGCTGGATGAATCACGAACTGATAAAGACATGGCTCCTTGAGGTGTGGAACAAAAGGAAACGCTATGTCAACGATCCGTCGCAGTCATTGCTGATATTGGATTCTGCAAGGTTTCGTATTTTACCATTTTTGAGCTTATCTTGCTTTTTTAAGGTGCCATCTCACAGAAGACGTCCGAGAGCTTTTCAAGGAGCATTCAAAGATCGCGGTCATTCCAGGCGGAATGACCAAATATCTAAAGCCTCTCGACGTCGGCATCAACAACCCTTCAAAGACCATCTGAGGGCAGGATGGGAACGATGGATGGCCGATGCAGCACGAGCAAGATACACAAAAGGCGGTGCCAGGAAAAGAATGACCTACGGCGAAGTAGCAGCACTAGTCTACGAGAGTTTCAATGTGATTACTGAAGAAACCATTGCGAACAGTTTTACCAAGGCTCTCGATGACGAATCAATGATCAATGCCATGAACGAGTATTTCGACGCTTTGATTGTTGCTCATAATAACGATAATGATGGTCGTTCTTTTGGTCAAGTTATTGCCACAAATGTTTTTTGTGGTGAACATGGAATGCTACCTGAATAAAGATCTGTTGCTTCGGTTCATTCTGAGACCAAAAAAGGCAGCGCAATTGCGCATCCTTTTTGTTTTCATGTGAAAAAATAAGGCGGACTTATCCGCAGGACTCTTGCCTGCGCGAGGGTGTCACGAAAGCGGATTTATCTGGTACGCTTTGTGGCGGACTTATCTGGTAGGCGGACTTATCTGTTAGGCGGACTTATTGGCGGGATTTTAGGGTCATTTTGAAACAGAAAATGCAGGATGAATCTTCTTTTTGAAAAGGCGATTGCTCCCAAGTGTGGTAAATGTTTTATATTTTGATATTGTATATGTACAAAAAATTTCAGTTTCAAAAAACATAGTACTGATTGGAAATGACGGGTGGCTTTATAGCTGTGACCAGCCTTGGGAACCCCTTGTTTCAAATTTTTCAATTTTTCTCCGGCCAAAATCAATGAAATCGGGAGCCGTTCTGGTCAATGATATGATGTTAGTTTGTACACAGAATAGTGGTTTTTTGGACAATTTGGAGCAAGAGAGAGCAAATTACAGTTATTTTTAGGGTGGCTTTATAGCTATGGCCAGCACTGTATAGGCGTTCCGATTACGAGATTAGCTGTATGAAGCAAGAATGAAACTAGTGCTTTTCATATTAAAAAAATGAAATTTTGCTCAAATGCAGCAAAACAATCAAAAAGTCTCAGAAAATCAGTCTTTTGCCACTTTGAAGATCGAAAAGTGGGTCCCTCCACGCTTCTTATTGAAAACTTGTAAAAAAATTCAGAAAAAGGAAGCTAGCAATACTGCTTGCCGATCACTGCCTACCAGCGAGAAAAGTTTGTGCTACCCTTCAAATCTCAAATTGAGTTACGGCATCTCAAAGTTGCGGTTTGGAATGTGTTTTGCGATTTTTGGAATAGAAACCTGTCTGGTTGTGAATACAATAATTTCTGAGTATACACGAAATTGCCAAGGATCCATAAATTGTGAAACGGTTTACTACGCTGGCAAATATTACTGAATAGGTTTGGCAAATTTATTTCAACTTCGAAAGGCAAAACCCTTACAAGCCATTTGGTGCTCTATATGGAAACTAACTTTTGCAACTATTCTAAGGCTTTTCTTTTTGCCGCACTACTTGTCGTTATGTAGATTACGAAGTGGCTACATATATTCGCTTTTTTATTACAGAATGGAGATGAATTATTTATTCTTTGGAGACCGTTCAGTTCAAGGTATCGCATTTTTTCTAAAGCAAAAACGAAGCCACGCACAGCATCAAACACATCGAGACGAAACTACGAGAGCGAATTGTAGCTAAATGTTGACCACTTATCTTGAGCTCAATTTTAAAAAATTGTAATTTGAAGACAGTTCACGATCTCTCGAGATGTCGAACCAGTCAAATGCGTCAAAGCTGCTTCGGAGATTTGTCAAGCCAAAAGTAATACCTAAATCAAGTTTTATCCAAATCTGGGTTCTCAGTGATGCCAAAGTTTGGTCAGGCTTCGCCACAGTCAAGTAGAGAAAAGTTCTGGAAAAAGTTGCAAATCTTAGTTTTTGACTCAACTATTTGTGCAGCTCGAAAATAAGCAGCATTGGTGAAAATCAAGAAAGTAAAGTATACTGTCAAGTGTGTCCTATGGGCGTGTTTTGATCTCTGCTAAGAGTCTAAAACAAAAATTTCGAAATTGTGTAAATTTGGTATCCTTAATTGTACCCACTTAGAAACACCAGCACATTTTTGAAAGCCCTTAGAAGTTTCAAGTCGAAAACGTAAACATTCGAAAAAAGATCAGAAGCTCCATTAGATGCGACCCAGATCATCTATAGGATATCCAGAGCGTTTATTCATTTTCTTTTTCTCAAATACAGTGAACATACCGCAATGATTCTTCGACTGGGCACTAAATCGTCTTCTTCGGTGGGTAACACTGCTCTTTTTTGCCAAACGCAATGACATAAATCCGGTTTCACGAGTACTCTCCGAGGGTGATGCGTTGGACCAGCCACTGTCCTTTCCGGATCTTCCATTGTTAACCTTGCCTGATGGTGGCTCGAAGTTAGCCGAGTGTTCGCAGGAAAGGTTGGGAGAGTCAGCAAATTCAGATTATCTGCTTGTTCCTAATGATGGATGTGACGCTCAATAAAGAATGGCGAATTACTTTCGGAGCGACCTAATATATATACAGGGTGTCCCAAAAGTAAGTACACACTTTTCAATCGTCAATATCTCTCTTCCCATTGTGTCTTTTTTCGCCATTCAAGCATCATTCTGTAGAGGAGGCTTCAACTTAGATTTACAGTATTGAGCGAATCACCGATCGCTCTTCATTACTGTAGGATAACTGCAGAATTTTCGACAAGGATTTTTAGGCCACTGGAGGCCATGTCTGCCTCGAAACAAAACCAAACAAGCTAAAAACTCTTATACTAAGGTAGTGAAAGTTGCTGATTTCAAATATGAAATTTCCGCCATGCTATGATGCTTCTTTCTAAAGTTATTCCAGGTAAACCGTGATATCCAAATTTTCAGTATTTGTCAAAAATGTGATTACACCATCAGAAAAGCTGGAAACACTCATAAAAAGTTGTGTAGTGGAATTAGTGTGCGCGAAAACCTTAGTACACTATTTTTCAGATTTTTTGAAAAAAATGTCGTCAGATGACATATTTCACAATAGTTCTATTTGCTGGAAGTTCTTACCGTAATCCTACAGTGATGAAGAGCGGTCGGTGATTCGCTCAATACCATAAATCTAAGTTGAAGCCTCCTCTACAGAATGGTGCTTGAATGGCGAAAAAAGACTTATTGGGAAGAGAGATATTGACGATTGAAAAGTGTGTACTTACTTTTGGGACACCCTGTATTTATGGTTTGCTTCCCAGCAAGGATGCCATCGGTGGCAAATCATTTCGTTGCCTTTCGCTCGTTTCAACAAATTCACTAAAAGTAAGCGCCTTAAATTAACTAAATAAGGTGCTGAAAGGAGTGAAGCATGCTGAGCGCGAGCGTTCTTATGCGAACCTCACTGAGGCTTAGGCGATATGTACATTGTATCAAATCTGTGTGTATTTTGTATCCGTGCTTTACGTGAACTTCATGCAAGGAGCTTCTACAGGGTGCGCTAGAATTTTTTGCGCGTGTATTCTGCAACGCAAAACTCGTGTAAGACGAGATCAGCGATAGGCAAAAAGCTATTTTGTTTCAGTAACGTTTTATCACTGAGAGGCTATAGTATGAATTGGAATTTCTAAGTGTGGCTTGAGAAAATTCACAAAACATCTTACTGATTAAGTTGCGCGCAAAACGCAGGTATTTTCTCAGAGAATTTTCTGTTCTTCATAGAAAAATGCTCCTGTGATGCAAGGAACGAACCACATGATAGAGCAAGTCTTCGGCTGCAACATGCTGTAAGCGCAAAATCTAGGATGGTCGACAAGAAAATTATAGGCGTTTAAAGAAAGTAATGCGTTTGCTCCATGCTCAAAAACTGCACATTTTAGGGGTGCAAATGAGCGAAAGAAAAGCAGAAATTGACTCCAGATCAGGTTGGAGTTCAATTTCATCAGTGGAAAAGAACCGAATATTTATCTAGAACCTTTTTGAAAGCACTATAGCATTGAATCCGGTGACAGGCACGTTTCTGTAGCTTACAAATGTGATTTGAAAACAAAACGGCCACTGACACGCGGGTGACATTTGCGTACTTTTTGTTGCCATTTTTGGAAGAATAATTGTTGACGAACGCAAGTACTACGATTCGATAGCGCAAAGCCTCCTCTACACTGTGGACATAAGATCCCTTAAAAATGTCTCAAAAATCTCCAGTTACGGAATGAATTAACTACCGAAAAATTAGGTTTTAACGCCTTCCAAAAGTATTAGTTCGACTATTTCATTATTTGCACAAAGGTATGGCTCACCTTGGGCTCACAAAACGCTATTTTGTAGAGGATGATTGCAGCATTCTACCACATAAATTTTGAAATCAAAACTTTGAGTTTTTTTTGCAGCATTTATGCAAAGTTGACGCAAATACTTTTGGCGCACCCTGTAATTACAAATGGTGCTCCAGTACTTATTGTAAGCAATTTTTGATGTCGACAACTTTGATCGAGTTTCCGTTAAGATTTTCATTTTTGCTGTTGTATGCTTGATGAACATTTTATTCCATTTCAAGTGAATCACTTAGAAGTTTTGGAACTATTGTCAATATGGACAAAGTACATATACAAATTTTGTAGAATCAACTCGATCCCGAAATTGCGCGCCAATGCCTTGCTTCAGGCACTTTTCCAACTTTAAGTAGGACGTACTTTCAGCTCAGAAAAACGCCGGGAAGTTCCGCAGGACATTAAGGAAAGCTCCGGCGGGCTGAGGAACTCCGGCTGAGGAACTCCGTTGTAAGTTTCTGGAAACTTCAGTCTGAAGCTCTCGGGAACTTCTCAAAAAATTGTAGTTTGCAGGAACTTCTTCTCCAATGTTCTCGGAAAGTTTCCAAAAGACTGTAGCTCACGGAAACTTCTATAATTGAAGTTCCCGGAAACTTTTTGCATAATTTCTCGGAATCTCAACTAATGACCACTTTTCATGCGGTTGCCGTAAAAAACAGTATATATATTAATTAAGGATAGAATGTTTGTTTCGCACTCAAAAGAAAAAAATCATCGAATACATGAGTACATTTGCACGTGATGAGTATCTGCTGATAAAAC